ATTTGTATTCTCTTTGAATTCATTGAGGTGTTTTGTTCATATATGCCCTATTTAATTTCATTGATCATTTTTATCATTCCTTTGAGTTCAATATTTGAGATTTCATCCACTTTACTATCATTCAAAACCTTTATTTTGTCATTGTTGACATGTTATGAGTCAAGTTATTGTTTTTACATATTTTTCTTTTGTTTATGCACTGTGATTTGGTCATCTGAACTCAAGTCACTGATGGAAGGTTTTATTCACCTCAAGTCTTTCAGTTGAACTATTCTGTGTGTTCTGGAAGGACTGGGTATTGGCAGGGTTGATGTGCCTTTCCTTGACACTGGCCTGACCTTTTATTTCTGGTTTGTGGAAACACAAGAATATGGTGGGTGTCTGAAATCTGCCATGTTGCTCCTTTCCAACCAACCTCTTATAAAACTTAAAACTACACTTATTTCTATTTATAGTCTTGGTTTAAAAACATAGTGTACAAAGCATATATCAAACCTGCCATAACCATTCATATTTACAGAATAAAATTATTTAAAGAATATGCTGTGGATGGGAGGTGTGGCTTAAGTGGTAACATGCCTGCTTTACAAGCAGTTCAAACCCCAGTCCCACCAAAAAAATTATTTTTATATTTATTCATATGCATATACACTGTTTGGGCCACCTCTCCCCCCTCCCCCATCCCCCTCGCTTCCAGGCAGAACCTGTTCTGCCCTTGTTTTCCAACTGTGTTGAAGAGAAAACATAAGAGACAATAAGAAAGACATAACATTTTTGCTAGTTTGAGATAAAGACAGCTATACACAGAGATTCTTAGCATTGTGTCCATGCACATGTGTGTGACAACCCACACTGGTTCATCTCTACCAAACCTCTTCACTACTTCCTGGTCACCTTCCCATAGTGGACTCTGCCAGCTTAAGATTACTATATTTGCTCCTATACAGTGAGCATATCAACCATATTGAAGTTTAAGGTTTCCTTCCCTTTCCCTATTTCTACCATGTGCATTCTCCCCGTAGTGTGTGACCCATGTCCAATAATGTTACTGCATTTGTTTTGGGTCTATAATCTGCAGATGTTCCTCATATGATTTTTGGCCTTCTGAGCCTGGCGAACTTTGCTTAAGATGATATTCTCCAGTTCCACCCATTTACTTGGGAATAACAAAATTTCATTCTTCTTTGTGGCTGAATAAAATTCCATTGTGTATAAATACCACATTTTCTTAATTCATTCGTCAGTAGTGGGTCATCTAGGTTGTTTCCATAGCTTGGAATAGTGCTGCAATAAACATGGGTGTGCAGATAGATGCCTTTGTAATAGCCTGAGTCGCATTCCTTCAGGTATATCCTTAGGAGTGGTATTGCTGGATCATATGGCAGATCTATGTTTAGTTCTTTAAGAAGCCTCTGTATTGTTTTCCAGAGGGGCTATACTAGCTTACATTCCCACCAGCAGTGTATGAGGGTTCTTTTTTCCCTCGCAGCCTCGCCAACATTTGTTGTTGGGTGTTCTTGGTGATAGCTATTCTAACAGGAGTGAGGTAGAATCTTAGTGTGGTTTTGATTTGCATTTTCTTTATAACCAGAGATGGTGAGCATTTTTTCATGTGTTTTTTGACCATTTTGACTTCTTCCTTTGAAAAAAGTTCTGTTTAGTTCAGTTGGCCACTTCTTTATTGGTTCATTGGTTTTGGGGGAGTTGTTGTTTGAGCTCCCTCTATATTCTGGTTATCAATCCTTTGTCTGTTGTATAGACAGCAAATACTTTCTCCCATTCAGTGGGTGGTCTCTTCAATTTAGAGACCATTTCTTTTGTTGTGCAGCTTTTTAATTTCATGTAGTCCCATTTGTCCATCCTTTCTCTTAATTGCTGGGCTGCTTGGAGTTCTACTGAGGAAGTCCTTGCCTATACCTATTGCTTCTAGAGTATTCTCTGCTCTTTCCTTTACTAACTTCAAGGTTTCGGGTTTGATATTAAGGTCCTTAATCCACTTTGAGATGATACTAGTAGACAGTGATCAGCATGGATCTAGTTTCAGTATTCTGGAGGCAGATAACCACTTTTCCCAGCAACATTTGTTGAAGAGGCTGTCTGTTCTCCATCATATGCTTTTGGAGCCTTTGTGAAAAATAAGGTGGGCATAGCTGTATGGATTCATATCCGGGTCCTCTATTCTATTCCACTGGTCTTTATATCTATTTTTGTGTACCATATAGCTTTTATTGTTATGGCTCTATAGTATAGTTTGAAGTCAGGTATGTTGTGATACCTCCAGCATTGCTCTTTTTGCTGAGTGTTGCCTTGGCTATTGGTGGTCTTGTGTTTCCAAATGAACTTTAGGGTAGATTTTCCAATCTGTGATGAATGTCACTGGGATTTTGATGGGAACTACACTGAACATGTAGATTGCTTTTGGTAGTATAGCCATTTTTACTATATTGATTCTGCCAATCCATAAGCATGGGAGATCTTTTCACCTTCTGTAGTCTTCCTCAATCTCTTTCTTCAGTAGTTTGTAGTCCTCCTTATAGAGGTCATTTACATCTTTTTGTTAAGTTTGTTCCTAGGTATTTGATTTTTTTGAGGCTATTGTAAATGGAATTGTTTTCCTATGTTTTTTCTCAATTTGTTCATTGCTGTCGTATAGAGAGGCGACTGATTTTTCTAAGTTGATTTTGTATCCTGCTACATAGCTGAAGCTGTATGGTGTCTAGGAGTTTTCTGGGTCTTTGAGGTACAGGATCATGTTGTCTGCAAATAGGGATACTTTGTTTATTTACCTATTTTTTATTTCTTTTATTTCTTCTTGCCTTATTGCTCTGGCTAGGAATTCCAGGACTATGTTGAATAGGAGTGGGGAGAGTGGGCATCCTTGTCTTGTTCCTGACTTTAGGGGAAATGGTTTCAGTTTTTTTCCCCATTAAGTATGATGTTGGCTATAGATGTGTCATATTTAGCCTTTATAATGTTGAGACACGTTCCTTCTATTCCTAGTTTTCTTAAAGCTTTTATCATGAAGTGGTGTTGAATCTTATCAAAGGCTTTTTCTGCATCTATTGAGATGATCAAGTATTTTTTTGTCTTTGCTTCTATTAATGTGCTGTATCACATTTACTGATTTGCATATGTTGAACCATCCCTGAAGCCCTGGGATGAAGCCGACCTGGTCATGGTGAATGATATTTCTGATATGTTGTTGGACTGGTTTGCCATTATTTTATTGAGGATTTGCATCAATGTTCATTAAGGAGATTGGCCTAAAGTTCTCCTTTTTGGGTATGTCTTTGTCCCGTTTTGGGATGAGTGTAATATTGGCTTCATAGAATGAGGTAGGCAGTATTCCTTCTCTTTCTAAAAGTTTCATGGAAAAGTTTAAGGAGAGTTAGTATTAGTTCTTTTTTAAAGGTCTGGTAGAATTCAGCAGAGAATCTGTCAGGTCCTGGACTCTTTTTTTTTTTTTGGAGCCTACACTTAGAACTACACTTATTTCTAGTCTTGGTTTAAAAACCACAGTGTACAAAGCATATCTCAAGCCTGCCATAATCATTCATATTTATAGAATAAAATTATTTAAAGAATATGCTGTGGTTGGGAAGTGTGGATCAAGTGGTAAAGTGCCTGCATTACAATCAGGAAGCCCTGAGTTCAAACCCCATTTCCACCAAAAAATTTTTTTAAGAAAGAATATTCTGTGGCCCATTTTCAACAGTTTATCCATGCAATTGAGCTTTTTATATTTGTATGTCTAAAACACACCTTTCTTCATACCCAAATTTTTTTTGCCAGTACTGAGATTTGAACTCAGAGACTTGTGCTTAGCTAAGCAAGTGCTCTTCCATTTGAGCCATACCCCTAGACCCACAATTTTTCCTTGATAAGGGAAGAAAGACTGTATTACTCATAACACAGATGAAAATATTTGTCATTTATCTATGTCCACCACCCTAACAAAGCATGCTTTCAGCCTCTAATTTCATGGGTGCTCCACTAACTTTTCCTATCTCCTCTTAGTAAATATACTTCTTTCTGAGTTGAATGGTATCTTTTGCTATCAACATTCAATCTCTTGCAGGAAGTAAGGAAAGGGTAATAGTACTCTCCAGTTCACACAATCTTGAGTGGAGGAAGAGACTCTATGAGGCACCTAAGTTAACCTCTGTTACACCATGTAGAGGTCAGAGTTGCAGAATCTGTGTGAGTTCCTGTAAGCTGTCTCCCAGAGTTCAGCATCTACTTCAATCTGTAGAACAAGTGGCCATCCCCAAAGCCTGAATGGTCTACTGGTGCACATGAAGAAGAAAGTCCTTAAAAAGAATACTTTTAACACTAAAAAATTCAATTTAGGGCTGGAGGAGTGGCTCAAGTGGCAGGGCACCTGCCTAGCAAGCATGAGGCCCTGAGTTCAAACCCCAGTATCACCAAAAAAAAAAAAAATCGAAAGAATACTTTTATCCTGATAGGCATTTTCCAAGTAGAATAAATTACTGATTTAATTAATTAGTTTTATAAAATGTTTTTATAAAAGAAAATTTATTATAAATAATCAAACTCATAGTGAAGTTTAATATTTATTTGAATTTCTGCTGGTAATAGCACTCAACATACAAGAAAAACAAACCGAGCTGTGAGATTTTGCTTTAAACGTAGCCATTTTTCTAAAAGTAAAAAGTTGGTTTCTGTATTTAATGGCAACAAGTAGGACACTGTCTATTTTAAACTACCATTTGAAAAGTAGTCTTTTAAGAAATATGTACTATGATTAACATGATGTGTTTTAGAGAATGGATACATATCTGAATGCCAATCTGAATATGGAAGAAAATATGTGTTAAAAACCACATTGGAAAACCAAATGTTATTTTTTTTATAAAAAGTAGTTTGAAATGAAAAGAACTTGCTAGTAAATCTCATAAACTTTCACACATGGGATTTAAAAAAATATCCCACCTACCCCATCCCCACAAAAAAGAAAAAAAAGGGCAAAACATGGTCACTTTAAGTAAAGCCATTACACGACCACTTGCTTCTGTACATTACACAGTCAATATTAACTTCCTAAAGTGCATCTTTTGAAGATTTGTCTATTAAAATTTCAATATCAAATATAAAACACAACACAGACATGCAAGAACAAAGCTACAGCATTACAGTGGAAAGTTTTTAAAACTACTTTAAAAACTTTTGATTCACCAAAGAATATAGACAGCAAATACAGTAGCATTCTCATTCTTTAACACTATGCATTGTATACTCTTGTTATTTGGCAAATCGTTTGGAGCCGAACAAAAATAATGCAGTCTAACCAATATTTCTTCTGTCAATATAATGCGATTCCTCGGGCAGAACAGTAAGGTGCAGAGGAACAGTTAGATTTTTGGAAGTTTTGGTGCATTAACCACAGGATTTGCCTCCTGCAAGTATCTCCTCCCTGCACTCTTGTAATCATAGGTGCAGCCATGAGTTTCTGCATAGCGATGAGATGCACAGAAGTTGTTTCCACATCTAAAGCACAAAAAAAGTTTACATGAATAGTCACATTTCTATGAAAGACTCATCTTCTTTAGGAGAGAGGAGCTTGACTTCAGGCAGTCCAATAGGAGCCCTTTGGGTTTCTTAAGAAAATTTCAGTGCTGATATTTCCCTTCAACTCACAAACACAGAGACCCCCCCCACCCCAAAAGAATGAGTTAATAGTGTATAAATAGCAATTTATAATAAAGAATCCATTATAAAATAAAATAGGGAATAGATCTTTATCAAGCAGTAAAACTGCAAAAACTGATAAGCATGTCTACCATATCTTTTATATCTAGCAAACTTGAAAGAAGTCTGAATTTCTGAGAAATTTAGTCTCATGAGAAAATTAATTATGTACAATCTATCCCATGAATGACTTAAAAATGTTTCTAGCAACAAGACAAATTATTTTTATTTGAACACAATGCACTCTAAAAAGTAGCAGTTATTTCCAATGTCTGGCCTCACCTAGGGGCAGATACCATCCTTGGAGGATATCAATCAGTGTCAAGGGAAGGCATAATTATGGCAAGGAAAAGTTCATTATTTAAAAAATATTATTCACCTGTTTTGAAATAACTATACCATATCATTGTTAAAATTATAGTAAATTAACTTTCAATTTAGTCCTTTTTGTTCAATTTAAAATAGAATCTTAGAGGAGGGGTTCTATTAGGCAACATTTAAACTAAAACTACGTATATTTAGCACTGGATGAAGAAAGTACACTCTCCTATTAGCTTAAATCTCCTAGCTTAATGGGTAGCAGATGACTTAATTTTGCCTTTTGCAAACTCATGGGTTATCTACTTCTCTTTACTTCAGCCAATTAGGAATTCAACTGAGGACTGCTATTTGAATATTATCTTGATGTTATGAGTTGCCAATTTAAATAATACTTTATTTTGCATAATCCCCATGCTGGGTCACCAGAGAGGAAGCATCTCAGCTTCTCTAGCTGGCCAACCTGCCTGCATTCGTAGCTAGTAGCCAATCCTGTTTTCTTTCCACAAAGAAAACAATGCTTTGTTGTTTTCTTCTTTGTTTGAAGAGGTGCTTTCACAGGTGGAAGGTGATGGGTACATTCTCCTATTTAGAAAAAAAACCTTGATTAGTGCAGGTATAAAATTCTAAGAACTACTACAAGCAAAACAAAGAACAGTCCTGACATAGTAAACATACATACCATAAAATTTAATTTGTAATATTTTTATATCTAAAATTATTTACAGAATCTACAAGTGAAGTAGCAGAACTTTTTTTTTTAAAGATGTAGAACATTTCTACTGAGTAGAACTTATTGTAGGTCTTCTTATACAAACTAAACACTTTTCTGATTATATTGAAGGCTAATCAGCATATATAAAGTATGCTAAGCCAGACATGGTGGTACACACCTGTAATCATAGCTACTTGGGAGGTGGAGGCAGAAGGATCACAAGTTCCAGGTCAGCCCAGCAAAGTTCTTATAAAAAACAGGCTGTTTATTTTATTTCAAACACAAAATAAAAACAAGGGCTGGGGATGTAGCTCAAGTGGTAGACCGCTTGCCTACCATATGTGACGCCTTGGGTTTAATTCCTAGTACCTCAAAAAAAAACATTGAAGAGAATTAAGAAAAAGGCCTGGTTGAGATCCTAACTCATGAGTCCTCCTTATAGTCATCCTATTTGTAAACATCAAGGAGCACTAGAGTATCATGAAACTGGACATTTAGTTTTAAACATGTTATAGAAAGTAAATTTATCAACCATGAACAAGTCATTTATCTTTTCAAACTTCAATTTGATTATCTTTAAGATAATGGAACATGTATTTTTCTTCCTAGGTTACTAAATGTTTTAAGGCCAACTCAGTTTTCACATGTAAAAAATACTCTGAAAAAATTTAATGGTATAGTTAGATAAAATACCATTTTATCAAACTGATTAACATGGTACATAGCTCAGTTTCATACTACTACTAGCTTTCCAAACTATTAAAGTCTGTAATATTGTAATAATTTGAATTTTTATCTTAAAAATGAGAGCATATCTGTTCTTATATAAGAAAAAATCAATTTAATTACTAAGTGAAGTATCTTTAGAATTTACCAAAGTGTTAACAACTCCCACTTATAAAATTAGTGTCCATAATTGTTAAAATAATAGTACAAGTACACACAAATCCTTGGTAGTACTCAAAGGCCAAGAAATAGACAAAGAAAGATAAGCAAGAATAAGGGAAAGGAAGGGGGAAAATGATAGCTTGTCAGTGGTGTATACCTATTCTCCACTACTGGAAAAGATGTGAGAGGCCCTAGAATAATATTTATTTGGCAGCTGAGAGTTTCTGGAACCCTTCAAGGGCTCTAAAGTTGGATTTACAATTAACTAACACTACAGCTTTTGCCATAGCCCAGACTGGGTGCCCAATACACAAGTCCAGCAAAATTAAGTTTGTTTTATTACCAATCTAAAATATACTCCTGGTTCTTACACAGAACTAGAAATAAAATTTGAAACAACTAACTGAATGATTCCTAATGATTCCAGCGCTCTAACTCAGTTAATACAAGCTTTCTTTCTCAAGCACATGTAGAGGTACCAAGAATATTTCACAAAGGTGATGGGGTGCTCTCTTCCCAAAAGAAGATGGCTGTGAGTATAGCCCAACTTACATGCTTAGCATTTATGAGGCAGTGAGTTTGATCCCTAGCACCAAAATATAAGATAAGCACTTGTACAGGACACAGAAGGAAGGTATATGTTACAGAAGATCCAATGGAAATATATTGTTTCTTAAACAATGGTAGAAAAATCTTTTGATGATAACTTAATTCAGTGTAGTCACATTTTCATTTTTTTTGGAGGGGAATGCTTAATGCATATGTACTTTTCAACTTTTTTCATTCAAGTAATCTTGTGAATGTGCAGACAGAGAATACATTTGTGACAGAAAAGAGGTGGCACAAAAATATAATAGCAGTTGTTTTCTACGAGAACAGTTTCCATGCATCCTTCTACCCATAAACAAGGAACTGTCACTAGTACATGCCAAGCTAATATTCCTTTGACTGATATCCAAGGTCTTACACGCCACCCAGCAAGACTCCTTTCCTATCAGTTCCCACGTCACACCCACCACTTCATGCCACTAACCACTGAACTGCACACTTAAAACAGCTAAGAAAGCCAAGTGCCATGGTGACATGTACAAAACCAGCACTAGGGAGGTGGAAGCAGGAGGATGGAGAATTTACAGCAGCTTGGGCTACAAAGAGACCCATTCTTCAAAAGGAAATTGGTCAATAAATTTGATGTGCTTTTTATCACTTAAAAATATCACATTTTTAAAATCTAAGTTGATATATTAGGACTTTATCACCTTGGGTGCAAGGTGCTAAGTTCAAACTTCAGTACCACCAAAAAGAGATTTTATCACTGTGGCCCTTATGAAGGAATGGAAAACAAACCCTTTAAAAACATAAAAACTCATATGATAACCACAATAAATAGTTATTTTCTTAAACTCTGGATCTACAAAGGAGGCACATTTTTCATCCCTGGTCTGGATGAAAGCATAAAAGAAGGAGACAGCAAACACTTCCCTTCACCTTGAACCAGTTAGGGCATCTACAAGGTGCTACCACCACTTGAAGGGCATGCTGATTTGTAGCCTTCTGCTACTATGCTTAAGAAAGGGTTGATCCTAGAGATTGCAACTCTTTTATCCAGAAATAACCACTGGCAAGAATCTCTTAACACTCCCCTTGATATTGGACCAAGACACTAAAAACACCTTCCTAGAGAAAAACCTCAAAACACATCCAGGGGATGATTGCATGGTGGCTCCATAGTGACCAGTCACAGGGGGCAGATGAGTAACTGGGAGGTATATATTAATTATTCAATAATCTTGTCTTTTTATATAGATCATACCTCTTCCCAGGCAAGAGATGTCAATAGTCAATTCATATAATTATTCTGAATTGATAAAAAGTTTAAGATAGAGTTTACTGTGTTCATACTACAGAGAATGTTCTTCCCCTCTCTCTTTGAATATTCAACAGTATGCTAACAGTGTGATTATTATATTAGCTTTATATTATTTTCAAAATTATCTGAAGCTTACCTACTCTTTTCCCTGCTGCTGCATTATTTCCATTCATTCCAATACCACGGGCAGACTACAATTAAAACACAAAACACCTACAGAGGTAAGTCAATGGAGAATAGAAGAGGTCACTAAACATGAAATATTTGTATTTTATAAATAAGATGTTGTTGGGCTTCGATTTAAAATTATTTAATCTATTTTTAATTAAATTAACTTGGAACCTGATTCTGACTTATAGTAATATTATGCTTATCATTTATCTTTAAAAAAGTAAAATTTGATGGCTCAGATAAGAGTTCTTTGGGAAAAAACATTAATATAAAAATATTAAGTACTGAAAAACATGATAAAGCTGGGTGTGGTGGTGCACTCCTATTAGTCCCAGTATTTGGGAGGCAACGGCAGGAGAATAAAAACTTCAAGGCCATCCGGAATTATATAATGAATCTGAGGTTCACCTCAGTTACCTAGTAAGAGCCTGTCTTATAAAAACAAAAACAAAATTTATAAATGTGGAGTTATGGTTTTCAATTTACGACTAACACATTATTTAAAATTCAGTCATCAAAAAGATGTTCTAGAGCTGAAGGTGTGGCTCAAATGGTAGAGTTCTTTACCTAGCAATCACAAGGCCCTGGTATAAACCACAGTACTGCAAAGACAAATAAATAACAACAAAAAAGATTATCTACAAACTAGACAAATATTTTCAGAGAAATCTATGGGAAGAAAAAACCCTTAGGCCTCTCCTCGTTATGTAAACAAAAAACAAACTTTAAACATGCCCAATCACTACACGATAAGTAGAACAGCATGTACAAAGGAAAATACTTACTAGAAAAAATTCTGTAGGTTCACACTGGGGAGAATTTTTCTTAATGTTTTCTTCCTGAAAATGCTGGAGGTTTGAAGACAGCCCAATTCCGGACGGCCGAAGCCGGCCTGCCCCACGTGAGCTCTGTAAACTGTCTCTGCTTGCGCTCCGTGCGAGTGAAGCAAAAAAACCAATATTATTTACACAACCAACAGGCTCTTTAGAAGCCTTGTTAGCCATTTCTGTGATATCCCGAGCTTCAACTTTGGAAATAACATCAGGTCTTTTCCCAGGTGAATCAACTTTAACACCACGCAGGCGAGTAGTCCTAGAGAAAGAAGAATCAGTTATGGTTCGAACATCCAATGATCGGAGAGTGTTTTGTGAAGCAGAAGATGGGAGGTTTCCAGACTCAAAACCTTTGGACTGTCTTTGTGGCTTCACCAGGGAATTATGTAGTGACATTGGTGCAGCACAGCGAAGCGGTGACAGGAGTCTGTTCTTGTGAGGACTTGATTCACGATGGTTGAGAGCTGTAGTGTCTATGGACTCACCATTCAACACTTTTGAAACATGTTTCAGATGCTGCTCTGTCGTTCTCAACCCTCTATCACCATTATTGAGTAGGGACTCTGGATTTACCTTCCATACACCTTCTGAGCCATTCCGCTGCTCATCAGCATTTCCTTCTGCAAATGCAGCAAAAGGACCCACTTCAGGTAGGAGAGATTCCTCAGGTACGCTTTCTTCAGAAGATGGAAATAAGACAGAGTCATCCTCGTTATTAGGTGACAAGGTCCCTGAAAAGTGTTTTGTCCGCCTAGGCAGAGACGATCCAAGATGGAGAATAGAATCAGCAAGCTCTCTGTCATTTTCCAGCTCCATGTGGGGCATCTGAGGCAGCTGTCTGATGCTGCTGCCGGAAGGAGACAGTGTGCTGTTCTCCCAGTGATCATCTTTAAGCAGTTCACTAGTGAGAGATGACATGGGTCTACTGACAGGGCCCTGAGCTGCTAAACTTGAAACTGCATTCCTGGATGTTTCGGGAAGATATGCATTCCCAGGAGAAGGTGCACAAGACTGCCCAATGTGGGGCAGGACTCTTAATAACCTGTGACGAGCTGCTGCTGTGGAACTGCTAGAGGGTCGAGGAGCTATAGGTGGACGAGGTTTTATCTTGACAACTTTCTTAGGCTACAAGGAAAGAGTGAATATATAATTCTTTCACACAGACATTTTCTCTGCCACTAACAAAAACTGATGAAAGAAGAAAATGTTACTAACAAAAACACAGAAGCATTTTTATTTCCTAGTTAAATATATTTTAAAGTATTAAAATCTTAGGATTTTAGTTGAAAAGGATTTTGTTATATATTTCTTTATTGAGTATAATTTTCGAAGATGATAAAGAAAAATTTTTACTCATTTTCCTCACTATTGAGTATTTCTCAGAGTTTGAGGAGAACACATTGATTATAATAGGTATACCTAGGTGTAAACCTAACAAAAGATGTGAACGACCTCTACAAGGAAAACTATACACTTCTGAAGAAAGACATTGAGGAAGACTATAGAAAGTGGAGAGATCGCCCATGCTCATGGATTGGTAGAATCAACATAGTAAAAATGTCTATACTCCCCAAAGTAATCTACATGTTTAATGCAATTCCCATCAAAATTCCAATGACATTCATTAAAGAGATTGAAAAATCTACCGTTAAATTTATATGGAAACACAAGAGGCCATGAATAGCCAAGGCAATACTCAGTCAAAAGAACAATGCTGGAGGTATCACAATACCTGACTTCAAACTATATTACAAAGCATAACAATAAAAACAGCAGTGGTACTGGCACAAAAACAGACATGAAGACCAGTGGAACAGAATAGAGGACCCAGATATGAACCCACACAACTATAACCAACTTGTCTTTGACAAAGGAGCTAAAAATATATGATGGAGAAACAGCAGCCTCTTCAACAAAAACTGCTGGAAAAACTAGTTAGCAGTCTGCAAAAAACTGAAACTAGATCCATGTATATCACCCTATACCAAGATTAACTCAAAATGGATCAAGGATCTTAATATCAGACCACAAACTCTAAAGTTGATACAGGAAAGAGTAGGAAATACTCTGGAGTTAGTAGGTATAGGTAAGAACTTTCTCAACGAAACCCCAGCAGCACAGCAACTAAGAGATAGCATAGATAAATGGGGCCTCATAAAGCTAAAAAGCTTCTGTTCATCAAAAGAAATGGTCTCTAAACTGAAGAGAACACCCACAGAGTGGGAGAAAATATTTGCCAACTATACATCAGACAAAGGACTGATAACCAGAATATATAGGGAACTTAAAAAACTAAATTCTCCCAAAATTAATGAACCAATAAAGAAATGGGCAAGTGAACTAAACAGAACTTTCTCAAAAGAAGAAATTCAAATGGCCAGAAAACACATGAAAAAATGCTCACCATCTCTAGCAATAAAGGAAATGCAAATTAAAACCACACTAAGATTCCACCTCACCCCTGTTAGAATAGCCATCATTAGCAACACCACCAACAACAGGTGTTGGCGAGGATGTGGGGAAAAAGGAACCCTCTTACACTGTTGGTGGGAATGTAAACTAGTACAACCACTCTGGAAAAAAATTTGGAGGCTACTTGAAAAGCTAGACATTGATCTACCATTGGATCCAGCAATACCACTCTTGGGGATATACCTAAAAGACTGTGATACAGGTTACTCCAGAGGCACCTGCACACCCATGTTTATTGCGGCACTATTCACAATAGCCAAGTTATGGAAACAGCCAAGATGCCCCACCACCGACGAATGGATCAAGAAAATGTGGTATCTATAGACAATGGAATTTTATGCAGCCATGAAGAAGAATGAAATCTTATCATTCGCTGGTAAATGGATGGAATTGGAGAACATCATTCTGAGTGAGGTTAGCCTGGCCCAAAAGACCAAAAATCGTATGTTCTCCCTCATACGTGGACATTAGATCAAGGGCAAACACAACAAGGGGATTGGACTTTGAGCACATGATAAAAGCAAGAGCACACAAGGGAGGGGTGAGGATAGGTAAGACACCTAAAAAATTAGCTAGCATTTGTTGCCCTTAACGCAGAGAAACTAGAGCAGATACCTTAAAAGCAACTGAAGCCAATAGGAAAAGGAGACCAGGAACTAGAGAAAAGGTTAGATGAAGAAGAATTAACCTAGAAGGTAACACACACGCACAGGAAATTAATGTGAGTCAACTCCCTGTATAGCTATCCTTATCTTAACCAGCAAAAACCCTTGTTCCTTCCTATTATTGCTTATACTCTCTCTACAACAAAATTAGAGATAAGGGCAAAATAGTTTCTGCCGGGTATTGAGGGGGAGGGGGGCAGAGGGAGGGGATGGAGTGGGTGGTAAGGGAGGGGGTGGGGGCAGGGGGGAGAAATGACCCAAGCCTTGTATGCACATATCAATAAAAGAAAATAAAATAAACAGGTATGACGTTGCTGACCTATTTTAGATCCTCAACAATTCTTTCAACAACAATGAGTTTGCATAAATAGGTATTCAGAAAAATAGTTAAAAGCCTAAGTAGATATCTTTGAAAAGACTTGCTTACAAGGCTAGGCCTCCACTGGCTTCTGGGAACTTCCATTTTAGGAGGGTTCCTAGGACTGTAGGACTCTACTGATAAGAATGTGTCTCAATCGCTGTGCAAACAACATGGTTTATGATGAGTACCTGTTTTTCTTCTGGAAGTCAGAAATGTACATGCCAGGCAAAGAATGCTTACCCAAATGGACCCAATAACCCCCCTCGACACAGAGTTGCTAATGATCTCCCTGAGATAACATTTCACATACATCGTCCCAATGCACTGACAGAGGAATTAAGCACATCCTGTGAAATTCCATTGGGCGAGAACTCTAGGAAGTTGGGCATGGTCTCCTCTGGACTTGGCCCCATATGCCTTTTCCCTTTGTTGATTTTGCTTTGTATCCTTTTGCTATAATAAACCTTAGTCATAGTACAATTATGAATTATGTACTAGAATCCTGTCAGTCTTCCTAGCAAATCATGATACCTAGGAATGGTGTTGGGGCACCCTGGCACAGAATGTTTTAATAAAAGTATGACAAAAAGGGTAAAGTTGGGAAGTAAAGAGGTGAAGTCTTAACTCTTAAACACACACAAAAGGGTAGCTAGCAGGGATCAGGAAGGGATGGGATGGGATATCTAATGACATACTGGCATTCCTACTTATAAGAAATATAAAATAAATCAAAATATCAGAAAGTCCAGATAATTCAGAAGATATCAGCTGAGGCAAGGAGAATTAGAGGAGCTAAGAAAGTAGAACCTTGTAAAGCTGAGCTGGCTCCTATAGCTACATTTATCCTGGGAATTCTGTCTTGCCCATCTGCAATTCTATATCCACCAAGAATTTTCTTCAAAAATGAAGGGTATGTTGGGGGTGTGGTTCAAATGATATACTGCCTGCCTAGCAAGCTCAGGGCCATGAGTTCAAACACCAGTACTTCCAACTCCCACTCCCCAAAAAAACCTTGTATTTAGGATAAGTGCAGTGGCACACAGCTATAATCCTAGATACCTGGGAGGTGAAGTTTGGGAGGATCACAGTTTGAGACTAGCCTAGGCAAAACATTAGCAAAATCCCATCTCAATCAATAAGCTGGGTCTGTAGTCCCCAAAAGGGCATATGTAGGAAGACTGCAGGCAGCGCTGGCTCTGGGCAAAAACATGAGACACTACCTGAAAAATAACAAAGCAAAGAGGACTAGGGGAATGGTTCAAATGGTAGAGCACCTTCCTATAAGCACCAGGCCCTAAGTTCAAATCACTGTACCACCATAAATAAGTAAGTAAAATGATTTCTAGGTTGTAGAGATTGGTAACTACCAAAATCTGAATATATTCATGCATCTTCAAAACAAATAAATAACATATGCAACCAAACATATCAAGAATGTAAGCACATCAAATCACCTATAATCCATGCCATTAGCAAACTGGGAGACAGACATAAGACATGAACTTCGAACTTAGTGGTGGGTAGGAAAACACCCAAATCTAAGAGACTCATCTGCAAAGCCTACGTCTGTGGTGATAGGCAGGAATGAGGAGCTTCAGGAAAGGGACAAAACAGGGAAGAGGAGAAAGGGGAAGAGAGGGGAGGGTAGGGTAGGAAAGGAGAGGGGAGAGGGGAGGAGAGGAGGGGAGGGGAGAGGGGAGGAGAGAGGTAAGATAACCTAGGGCTGATGGAACAAAGATGAAACACACCCACAAAAGAAAAAAATCGCACTTATTGTAAAGATACCAAAAACAGCTTGAGATCTGGGATATCAAACATGGGCTACTAGAAATTGTTCAGGATCAAAGCAGTCAGTTTTAATAAAGCCCTATCTGTGCACAAAAGAGTAAGCTGAAAGGAAAATGCACCCTTTGAGGACTTGACAGTGAAGGTAAAAAAAGCAAGACGGGTAGAGCAAGGATCCTAGAGAAACAAAGGTGAATCACAAAATACCCTTAAGTTAGTATTTGTGGAGCGTTTTCGTTGTTGTTGTTATTTGTTTGTTTGAGACATGTCTCACTATAGCCCAGGTTGGCTGCCTAAGCTCCTGAGTGCTGGGATTACAGGCATGTACCACCACACCCAGCTTTTATGAATAGTTTTTAAAAGTCTTATCAAAAGATAAATCCAAAAAACTCAAGATACAATGGACAAAAAAGGAAGATATTAAATAAGCTGACTAACCCCATACACAATGGATGGAAAAATGAAATGATTTCAGAAATGAAGGGACACAAAGGAGACTAGCTTCCACGGAACATTTAATAAAAAATACTGAGAGAAGGTATGAAAACAGCCAAGAGAATGAAAACAAAATAAAGAATTTAAAAGGATGAGAAAAAATGACTGAGTATGTACAAAGGAAGCCCCCAGAAAAGGAATAAAAGGAAACCCAGGTATAGTGGTGCACATCTGTAATCCTAGCCCTTGGAAGGCTGAGACAGGAGGACTGGGAGTTTGAGGTCAGTTATATTCATGAGACCCTAATTCAAAGCAAAAAAAAAAAATGTAAGCAGAAAGTGAAAATTGACCCAGAATGTTTAATTCCAAGTCATAGCCTAGTAAAACTACTACACTTCAAAGACAAA